GGGGGGGCCAGGGGCCGGTTCCCCGGCCCGCTGCCGTTTCAGCTGTAATTACTGCAATTACGTTTTCAACAGCGGGGCAAGCGAGGCTGCGCCTAACCCAGATACTTGCTCTCCACGCCCATATCAGGCCGCATGTCTCGCGTGCCCCAAATACCTCGAAGGGACGGGGTGGCCGTTCGTACTTTCTGGCTATTAAGGGCGCTGGTGTGAGTCATACCGCACAAAATTTTATTTTTAAAGGACAACTCGTCCTGTTTTCCCTGGCGGGGTGCAGTTAGGGATAGAGCCAGCTCATTACGGCACGTGGTGTTTTGTGTGGTTGCTGTGGAAATCATGAAAGCGCGGAATCATAGAATCATAGAATCACTTTGGTTGGAAAAGCCCTTTGAGATCATCGAGTCCAACCTTTAACCTAACCCTGCCATCCCACCACTAAACCCTGGCCCTAAGCCCCTCATCTATCCTGCTTTTAAATCCCTCCAGGGATGGGGACTCAACCACCTCCCTGGGCAGCCCCTTCCAGAGCCTGACAGCCCTTTCAGTGAAGAAGTTTTTCCTAATGTCCAACCTAAACCTGCCCTGGCGCAGCTTCAAACCATTAAATCCATTTTGGGTAAGGGACACAAGATGCCAAACAAAACCCTCATGAGAAGGCCACGGTATGCACTCACCGCACAAAACCCACTGAAATTATTTTAATTACAGGTGAGCGTGATCCAAAGGCAGTGAGCCAGCTTTCAGGTGTGTATTCCCCCCCCCCGAGAACTTCAAAGACATCAACAACTTCAAAGACATCAACGCTAAGGGCCCACCATATTCAAAAAGCCCAAATTCCCTATCTCCTGCAGCTCGGTTTTCCGTGCTGCTTGTGGGCGTGCAAAATGGCTCGTGCCTTTGGAAGTTCTTAGGAGGTAGCTCTGCACGATGTGTGTGAAGGCTAATGCTTGCGCGCGCGCACACACGCGTAAAGAGGCTGCTGCTGCGTTATTTAACCTGAGAGATGTAAATAACAAAACAGACGGGTGTAAATAAAGCAGAGGCAGGTGTGAAACCTGAACCCCAAGCGGACTCGTGTGAAAGGAAAAGCTGTGCGGCATGCTCCACGGACCCAACCCACGGGGAACATTATTAAAGCAGGTCATTATAAAAGCATTAAGAGACAGCAGGCATTTCACTCGCTGTGTATCTTGACAGAGACATCGTTGTTAAACTGCTAAAGGCTTAAGCGATGCATGGAAATTTTCCACCTAAAGCTGAAATTGTATCCAAACTTATTAAAATATTAATCTGCCCGTTAGAATGGGGAGAAGGAAAGTGCAGGGAACATAAAGAGCAGCCCAGGCTCAGCCCTGGTGAATTAGGAAACTGCCACACAGCCAAATTTGCCAACGTGCTGGAGGGAAGGGTGTGCTGCTGCTGCCAAGGCCCATCGGGGTGTGCGAGACGACAAACAGTACTTGCAAGATAGCTCTCCCCAGCAGCAAACATTGCTGCCTCACCCCCTCCCTTATCTCTACCAGGAAAGGGAAGTACATTATTTTCAGATTTTCCCCCACCAAGTCATTCTTTCCCTCCTCTCATTCTTCCTCCTTCTTATCCAGGTCCCTTCGAGGGTAAGTCCAGCCTGGCCAAACCCCTTTATTTTTAACGCAGCAGATTTCAATACTGCCTACAGTGCCAGGGTGCCCTGAGGCAGCTCCGGTTAGTGCAAGGTGATCCGTCCTACAGTGGGCTGGGCGTGCGTTGCTTCTCGACCTGTGATCCCCCACCACACTTCCAGCTAAACCCGAGTTCCCCATGCCTCATCACGACGTGTTTCCCAGAGCTGGATGGGACGCTCTCTGTACCGCTTTGCTGATCAGATTGACAGTCTTGCGCCTGTACTGAGTTTCTCAAACAGATTGGCAGAGCATGACTCGGTGTCCCGGTACGGGCTCCCAAGCCGAGGCATACCATGAGCAGTTCATACTCCCCCATCGCTGGTCACCCACCCAGGTCTGCCCAGACAGCCAAGGAAGCCTACATCATTTACATGATAATTAGTAACCATGGCTGAACTCTTTCACTCCTGCACGATGATGCCATACCCAAATGAAAAATTGCTATTGGTTTTCATTCAGAGGATCACTCGGCTCCCATGAGGCAAACCACCACCATTTTTAGTGAAACAGGACAGAATTGGTTTCTCCCCACTGTTCATTATCAGTCCTGCTTGATCTCCCTGTAAATCCCTCCCAGTACGTGCCCTGCTCTCTCACTCAGTAGTATTCTTGTACACCCAGGGTCGATATCCTGCCAAGTGATATTTGTTTAAAATTCTCGAATGCACAAATTTGGCACAAAAACTGGGGCAAAGGGCATTCCCCTGGTTACTGCAGCTGGGTGGAATCTTCCCACCTCAAAGTCCAAGATCCATTTACATCAGTTCATTTAAGCCGCAAAACAAAATGAACTCTTCCTGCTCGGCTTGCTCAGACAGACCAACAAACGCACCAGGGAGCGCTAAGCAGAAGTGCTGTACAATGCAATCAACTGTTGAAGGCACAAGCAGTTTTTCAGCTTGTATTAAGACTGATTCACTTGGAGCTGACGTCAATCCTCCCTCCCTACTATCTTAGCCTTGGGATTGGAGTGTGATAAACACTACCTGTAATGCCATCTGCTGTACAGAGACAGCCCAAGCTTCTCACTATTTATTTAAGGGCTAATGTTGTGCTAGAGCAGAATGCAGTTTATTTCAGCCTTATTTGACTTTGTTTTGACTCTAAATGCCTGTCCACTTGAATTTTTAAAGTGATCTGTCATAGAGCAAAACCAATGTTTGCCTTGAAAAGATGAGGAAGTTCAGACAGCATAGTTAGCATCAAACAGAAAACTATCATGAAAAAGACAACGATACCAGACTTCTCCATGTGGAAGAGTCAAGAGAAGATGCAGAGCCAGAAGATCACCATCTCAGAATGGGGAACCAGGACCTCCCCAATCCTAGCTGTCTGAAATCCTGGAGAGCCAGTTTATTTCGTATATCAGTTTCTCCCTGAATTCTTTAGAACCTCAGTCCCTCAATTCCTTTAGAACCTCACCAAAGTCATCCAGCTTCTCTATAAAATACAAAATATTGTAGTTTAATGGCGACTGACTTTTGGTCAGTGGTAAAATCGTTTTGAATGGCACCAAGCTGAAAATACATCTTTAGATCTAAGAAATGCACGTACAAAACTGTTTCCTCTTAGGATTTTCTCCTCATTTGAAAAGTTTAAAGTAACAGGAATTATACCACTCCCTAGCAAAGCTCATTCATGATAGTAACTCCATTGAGCATTTTTTATTACTAAGAACTTCCTAACACTAAAACCAGAGTCAGTTAAAAGCCTTGTATACGGTGTGTTCAGAAAGGGCAGCACACACTCTGCCAACAAATAGCTTGGACTGTCCATCATAATTTATGAAGACCATGGATATTAAGCTAATTCTACCCTGAGTTAGTTTAAATGTCCAAAAATAAAATTAAACTGTTTAATCAAAAAGGATATGTGTAGAATCTCTGTCATTGACCCATTGCAGAGAAACATGTTGACTTTACAAGTTTGCTCCCTTAGATTTGCGTATTCGTAGCTATGTTCGGGACAGATATTGGGGCACTATTCTGAAAACTCTAGCATCTTTTGTTCCGAGGAACAGCAATAATGTTGTGCGTGTAAAAGTAATTAAATTATTTAAATCTCAAGTAATTTTAAAAGGGAAGGGCTGTGGTGAAAGCTATGCAGTTAAAAATTTAAACTTAACTGAATTATTAAAATAAGCTTGGATGAGAGAAACTGAAATCTAAGCAGTGCTTTTTGCTTAGTCTTAGCATTTCATAAAAGATATGTGTTAGTTTTGTTTGTGTTTATAATCAGTTACTTCCCCTAGTTTTACTGTACTTGATGGGACTTAATCCTGCAATGTTTGGATTGCAAATGCCACGCTATCATGCTTAAATGCACATCAAGATCTTGCTGCTTAAAATATAATTAAAATAGTAATACAGTAAATCCCCTAACATATTTTTTTTAATAGACACCAATCTACTACATCTTAAACTGCTTAAATTTTCAATTAAAGGACCTCCCACATGAGGATCACAGTGCCCTTTTTAATTATTCATCAGCTCATGTTGATAGGATAAATTAAAATCTCTGTGATGGAGAACATGTATTATTTATGAATGTCCTGATCTTGTCCTACACACTGTGGAGTGTGCTCTTTGGAACCTGCTTCAGAAGTCTAACACAAGGGTGGTTTTTTGTGGTGGTGGGATTTTTCAAATGTTTTTTCTTATACTTGGCTTTTGTCTTGCCTTTCTTCTCTGTATTTTCTATTTTCTTTACATTCCTTTCTGCAGTGACC